ACATATATATATATATATGGCTGGTTGTCAAAATTATGGTCCTTTTTTGGGTCCCTATTATAATACGGCACCTAATATTTAGGGTACCCAAACAGGGACCATAATTTTGACAACCACCCATATATACACCCCCTATATACCCTTTCATGTTTCTAGATACATATTATATACATGTCTGCCTGAGATCGACACTGACATGCCTCGCTGACGAAGCTCTGAGATCTGAGTTCATCGCTGGGCGTATTCTAGTCCCCCTTAAACAGATAGAATGTAGTTGTAGTCCCCCTTACTTGGATAGAACAGAATAGTTATAGGCCCCCGTAAACAAATAGAATACATCCCACTTAATAAGATAGAATATAGTTATAGTCCCCCTCAATTGGATGGAATATAAGGGTTGGGCGGCAGGGTTCTGGGTTTACAGTTAAGGTACAGTCCCCCTTAAATAGATGGAATATGGGGCATATGGAGATCTTATATGATATTGGTCAAGTCCATATTCTATCTACTTAAGGGGACTATATCTGAGGACTTGGGGGTTTCGGATTTCTGGTCTACACAAGGTTTAGAACATGGAAAATCCTACGAATCTATCTTCTGCTGGTGAAATCCTTTGCATACTCTGTGGTGCAAACTGCTGAAGACTCCAGGTTGAAAATCTGCCCACTTACAGGCATCCATAGGGAATTCTCTGGGCCTTTCTTCCAACCCGAGCTCCCTGCACTGGGAGCATCATCCCGAGGATATCAAATCAGAAGCATAACCCTGCTGATCTTCAAAAATTCCGGACATGCACCCAACTCCAATCCAAGGAACAATCAAGATGCCAAAGCATCTGACTTGAGAAGACTGTACGCGGTACGCAAGATTGCCCGTATATCTTTTTTCAGAGAGCTTTGAAGGTCAAGCGCTTGGAACTTGAAGCAGGTGGACAATTTCTTACAATGCAGTCCTAACTATGTAGACCTCAGCCGTGTAGTGCAGCCCTTCAAGCTGGGACCCAGGCCACCCAGCAGGAGCATGCGGCAGCACAGATCAACATTGAAGTGAAGATGGGGCTGGCATTCTGGTAGCCAACCTGCAAAAGCTCAGTTGAGCCTTATGGCTGAAGGTTATCAGTTGAAGTTGTTGGGTCTAGGATTTACGATTCGGTGCTTAGTGGGTTCCAGGTTGTTCCAATCCCACCCCCCCCCCCGTCCCGAATGTAATGGGGGGGGGTGATCCACTGGCACTAGCTGGTGAACATCCGCCTAGAATCTACCTGGAGGCAATTGAGATGTCTCTGAGAGGTCACTTGTTGAAGGCTGAACTTGCACACAAGCATGGGGATTTGGGCATCTCTCAAAAAACACAATCCCCACATAAGCTCTAAAGGGGGCTCCTATTGCCTGGTCATATTTCCGACGGCCCCCGGGGTCCCCGTTTTGAATAACTCTCATTTTCAATATTTGAGCTATAATCTGAACTCCTAGCATCCCCCTTACTAACCCCTATAGTAATCCCGTATGTAATCCCCTATGTTACCCCACTGTAAGGAGTTTAGACTATGGTTCATTGAAGGCGCTCTCGTCTGCAGCTCTCCCTGCAAAGCGTTTCCAACACCTAACAGCCTCCTGCCTCGTTCTGTGCTTGTACATTCCGCCGGACGGAGAACCACCTAGGCGTCAACATGACCATCACAACAAGCGTGTTCTGACACGTATTGCAAAGCAATTATATATATATATACATCTACAGATTTAGAGCAAAAGCTATCAAAGGGAAATAGGATAAACTGGACAAGAACCGCAGTACCAGCTATGAGCACGTACTAGCCCTTATGCGCATGACCATCTCAATTGCGAACTGCTAGTCGTGAAAATATATGCCAATCCGCCAGAATCTTAACTTCGAGCGAAGTGGATATGCTGAACATCTTGGGCCAAATCCACAAGCTATATCTCATTTTGTGGTGTGCGTCTCTATGCATGTCATGTCTGCGCATCCCAAAGCGCAGGATTGTGTCGCAAAAAAAACACCCTTGCTTGACACGCGCCTGTAGTCTTGAAACTGTCAGGCTTCAGGCTGAGGGTTTAGGGATTCAAGTTCAGGGTTGGAACAAGATCTTAATCGAATGTGAGCCCAGGTTAATTGGGGGAGCTATCTGTCCCTTCAAGCTCTCTGCGGTACAAACAAAAGAGTTCCCAGAGGGGCGTGGAGTTGTGCAGTTAGCTTGAAGATAAGTTTGGACCTGAAACTGGGGCACCGGCACATAGATGGAATGACCCGACGTGAACGGCAGTACCTCCAAACAATTCTCAGCTGCTCATCATGGGATTTGGGGGGGGTCTGGGTCTAACAATGGTAGCTTCATGATCTCCTCACACTTTTATACTCTACTCCCCAATTGCCATCCAAACGTTCCCAGACCCTAAACCATCTGCCTCAAGACCCTGCAACTAGGGAGCATCCGCCCGCCCTGTGGCGCACCCCTTCCTCGTCACAGAAGGCCATGGCGGCGGCACGTGCCTGGTAAGCTTCCCAAAGCAGCTGATGGCTGGTTAAGGGGACTCTGAGAGTTGTTTGTGCCTATGTAATATCTACATAGGAAAAGGGTTATACAGTGGATATGTACGGATGCTAACATGTTGCAGGGGTCTTTAGGGGTTGAGGTCCCAGAATTTTGGTGCCTGGTATTTTGCTTTGCGAAAGGCTCGATCTCGGAGCCCATCAGCGCCGACCGAAAAACTCAACCTATTAGAATTACGAGAAATTAGCACGCTTCGGCTTATTTAAGAGAATACCCCAATCATTCCTAGAGACAGCAAAAATACGAACCTTACGATAAAGGAGAATATTTTCCATCCATACAACGCTTTGGGAGGCATGCAGATTGAGTACCTCTTGGGTGGAAGGGACTGAAAAGTATTCATTATGTATATCAGAATGGAGAGGTGGTCTATCTGAAAGGAGATAGTCGATTCTATTGGCCGCCTCGGCCATGCAAGATTCTGCCCAGTGTAGGCGGGGACGTCCTACCCTATTCGGGCCCGGGATAAAGCGGTAAGCACCGGATGGCATAAATGAAGATTGATACTCAAGGGAGTCAGGATGTCTGATCAAATGACCAAATAACTTGAGGCGTTGCTGTGAATAACATTGGGAGGGTGTAATTACTCGCCGGGAATAGGCAAGACCAGCGAGGTACTCGTTGGAGCACTCAGCTTCAAAGGGATGCAAGACTCTGTGGTAATATGAAGACTTAATCTTGAAAATTCTACGAAGAGATCGGAAATGAACAGAATTAAGTCTAGTGAGCTGTGCAGGGGAAAGAAGAACACTGTCCATAGCGTACATCAGAATGGATAATATGATAGACCTGTAAACAGTTAGCTTCCAAGAAGGAGGAAGTGAGGCATGAGAGAGTAATGGCTTGAGTAGCTTAGAAGAATGGATGGCCTGGGAAATGCGATAGGAAGTGTTCTTGTGAGAATTACCGGAAGTGTCTAAATATACGCCTAAGTACTTGACCTCGTTGGAAAGAGGAACTGGAGACCCCATCGGACCTTGACCTGTGCAGGAGTCACAAGGACAAATTGGAAAGGAGGTGTCCGTAGAATAAAAGATTCTCTGGTCTGAGTTTAGTCTAAGGTGATCACACTTGTCCTCATTAATGTGGAGCCCTCGTTGGGCCCCGAAATGTTGAATCAAATGGAGCATTCTAGTAGCATGCTGCGAGGATTTACTTAGTAGGACTGTATCGTCTGCATACTCCATATCCCACAAAGGGGAAGGAGTGTGTATAACCCCTGGGATCAAGCCATAGAGGGATATTGGGATTCTACATCGTGAAAAAGATGAGAAAGAACCATACTAAACAGGTATGGGGATAAAGGGCAGCCCTGTGTTAGACCCTTAGTTTGGGTTCGAGTCTCTGAGGTTTGCTGACAGTCTCTAACACGGAAAGAGGGATTGCTATACAGGGCCTTTGCGTGTGGAGAGACCCCGATAAATGTCATTGCGGACTGAATGGCTGTGAAGGTGACTGAGTCAAAGACCTTGGACCAGTCTAGGAACAAAGCGTGGAACGGAGAGGGCTGTCTTTCATGTATCTCAAGGAGGCGGCGAAGAACATGTATGGGCTGGGTGGTGGAGCTATTTTTACGGAAGCCGAACTGTGTCGGCCTTATTCTAGAATCAAGAGAGGAAGCTAAGCGAGACTGGAGCATAGAAGCAAAGATTTTATAGGAAACATTGGTAAGGGAGATCGGGCGATAGTTGGAGAGTGATCGAGTATCCTTAGTGAAATTTTTTGACAATCATAACCACTTCTGAAAATAGCCAGCTAGCGGGGACCCCTAGCCAGCTAGCGGGGACCTGAGCCTGGGAGAAGCATAGATTAAAGTGGTCCAGCAGATACATACGGAGGATGTACGGGGCATGCTTATAGATTTTTCCAACCAGCCCGTTAGGACCAGGTGACTTAGCGGACTTGATTTTGCGCAAGGCTAAATTTAGCTCGTGCATTGTAAAAGGAGCATCCTTTGGTACTGGGGCAGGAGACGGGTCAGTAACTGGGACAGGAGGATCTACGTATGAAAACCACACCTTATCAGCAAGGTAGTCCGTGAAGGTTTTTGCCTGCTGTGTTTTGGAAACGAGTTTGCCCTCTACATTGAAGAGCGCTGCTGCTTTAGGCTTAAAATCCGAGCGTATGGAGCGAATGTGTTCCCACTGCTGACCAAAGGAGCCATGAAAATCATTCTCTAAAGTAGTACTGACGAAGATCTTTTTATCTTTGCGTGCTCGGCGCTTAATTTGCTTGCGGGCAGCTTTAAGGGAAGTGATATCATCAAAGGTGGTAGATTGGAAATCAGCTATGAGCTGCAGAGTATTATCAGTAATCCAGGGTTTCTTAGCAGAAATAGGCAGGTGAGGTATCAGAGGATCATAAGTCTCGAATTTTTCAAAGAGAAATTTATCTTGGGCCTCAACTCCTATGGCAGCCCATGAGCTATTGTTAAATCCTATGTCAGGAGGGGAAAGTGGAGACGAAGGAGACGTTGAACACCGGCCCAAGGATCCCAACTGTGTTACTCCTTTTTTGGCCATAAGATCTGCTATTTCATTACCCGGGTATCCTCTATGTCCTGGTACCTTTTGAATGGAGACACGGTACTGCGCTCTAAGAGCCGCATAGTATTGCTGTGCTAGAGAGACCAACTGAGGATGCGTACAAGGGAGAGAAGTACCTAGGAGAAGGGAGAGAACATACTGTGAGTCTGTGTAGACTACAACGTAGTCTCCTCTATCAGGGCCAGAATAATATAATAGGTAATCGAAGAGCCCAATGATTGCTCTGAGCTCACCAGTATTGTTAGAACCAATGGAGAGGCCCTCAACAGATTGGGGATTAGACTTAACGGGGCACATGAGCAAATCCATGCAGATTCCGGAGGGGGATGAGAATTGATATTGTGATCAAAGACTAACGCGAAACCCCAGCCAGCAGGGTTATCGTACGAGACTGTTCTGTTATTGGGACAAGAACCGTCAGAGTAGGCTATTACCGAGCGTTGAGGTGGAGAATAGAAAGTAGCAGAATTACCAGATTTAGCCGAGAGATCTCGCTCGATTGCTTCAAAGAATTCACTCATTTCTTTGAAATGTTTCTTAGGCAATTTGGAGGGGGTCTGCATGGGGAGATAGCTAGTACGAAGATGGAACGAGAGAGGAAGGTGCCTAGAGTTAACAAGCTGTTGGAAAATGGATCTAGTGAAGGTGAATGAATCTTTCAAGGTAGGACGAAGGAGTACGTAATCCAGTGTAGTCCACTCTCTAACGTCATCTGTGAGACATAGGTGATCGTTGCTTGTCATTTCCTTGTAAGTGACTTTTTTTCGAAAAGGGAGGTCAGAGAAAGTCTGGGGTAGAGCGAGGTGGTTAGAAGTTAGGAAATCCAATAAATAGACCGCATTATCTCTGTCATCATCATGTAAAGAGGAGTGCCTGCCAACAACTGCAGGGCCAATATAATCATTGCAAGGATCGAGCTGCGAGTCCAATCTGGCACTCAGATCGCCTACTAGGCAAATATGAGAGGGGTTAGAATGGGGAGCATAATCTCGTCTAGCTGAGTCCAGAAATCAGCTTTGCGATCTCGAGCCTGCTCAGGATCTTCAACCTGACTGGGAACATAAACATTGATGATAGTTATGTAGAAGCGTATTGACAGTAATTTCTGCTATCCTAGGGGAATGAGGGATACAATCCGAGACATGGGAGCGTAGTTGTGGGGAAACAAAGAATCCTATTCCATGATGCTTGTCTGAAGGAAGTCCTGACATCAATATTTCCCAACCTGACTTGCAAAAGGTATGGGATGACTCAGCCTTGGTTTCTTGGGCACATAATAAAGAAACATTATTTGTCTTGCAAAAGGAGATGATTTGGTCATACTTGGAGGTTTCCTTAGGTCCTTCTACATTCCATGATAGGACATGTAGATTAGTATTAGTGGGGAGGGGTGTAGTACACTTAGAAGAGACAAATCTATGCTTATGAAGTTGAATAGTTTGATTAGTCAGGAACCGATCTGGAAGCTTTAAAGAAGCGTTCTACATAGGTCGGCTTCGGGTGGATCGGGGGTTGGGAATTGGGTCCACCGTGCACCCTCAGGGTGGAATCCTGTATGGAGGATTTCCATAGACGATAATCCCTCCTACCTTCGCGGCGAGCATCCTTCCATGCTTGAATCCGTCTTAAATTGGATTCACAGGAGCGCATACCTCTTTGTGTACCCCCGTGTGCTTCACGGTGTTGGTAGACGCATGGCTTGTCCTCATAACGTAAGTGGTGCATAACGTAAGTGGTGGGGTTAGCTACCCCTTCTCGCCACATCCGCTTGCGGCGTTGGACTAGTTGCCAGCGTTCTCCCGGCCCGCCTCCTCTGGAGG